CATGCCTAAATATAGAGCTTCTTTAAACATGATTTAGTGTATAGACAAAAACAAAGTCTTCATACAATTAAGCAGAATATTTTTTACATAAACAATAATGCTGACCTGAGAGGGGTTAGTTGAATAGAGTAATATTCATGATAAGTTCAACATGGAAAGGCCACATTTACTTCCATTTATTTTGGGAGAGAAAGGCAGAGGCTCTCAGTTTCCGTGCCCATAAGAATTATTTGGATGAAAAGACCCTAAATCTGGGCCCCCATTGAATACCTGAATATAAAATATATTGATAAGAATTAAAATCAGTCTCCATTTGAATTGTGCAAATCCAATGCGTTTGGCTTTGGCCTATCTCATGCTTCTATCAGAAAATCGTGATTTGGGCCTTCTTTTTATCTTCAGACAGAACTGGCTACATTTGAAAAGCTATTGCAGCTGTGCTGGACACAGCTGAAAATTCCTAAGTATGACTCAGATGACAAATTATATTTGATAGAGAGTCTAGCGGGATTTGCCTAGTGGAGGTTCAATCCTGAGAACGATTAAGTTAACTGAGGACCCAACAGGGAACTCTTGAACTCCTACAAGATGTTGCATCTCAGCCTCTGTGTCACCTTCGTAGCAAAATTTATAAAGTAATCACTGTTCTGGAATGAATCGATGTGTTAGATAATGAGAAGAATTCCCATTTTCTATGAATTTTCAAATATAGTTATAATAATAATTATGATGGCAAATAAATCATCAATGAATCATAAGTCCATAAAGACATCATTCAGGAGGACATAATTACAACACTTCAGAAACTTTCACACAATTCAAACATGTACATTAAGGCAGTTTCCAGGAAACGTTACTTGCTCAAATTTTTGTCAAACTTTAAAAGTATATGTGTATATATATAATATATATATTTCTATATGTATAGAAACATACACACATATAAACACACACAAACACATATATGAATCCTTTTGAATGTCCTAAGATTGGATTTCATCACTCAGTATAAATTAATGAGTATTTACTCAAAATTTTTTTAATTATAGCAATACTGGAAATTATCTAAAGATTAATGACAAGCCAAAAATCAGAAGAACAGTGTTATTTCTACTTTGCCATTAAATGTACAATTTTATCCTTTCTCTTCTCTCCATCCTTTTCCAATCCCCCACTAGAAAAAATACAAAATTAAGTGCCAAATTTGTATTCACTCAATTCCTAAATTGCATAAAAATATCTTTACCACAATCAGTGACTAAGCCAAGTGGAAAACATGGTGAAAAAAAAATTTGGAAAATGTGCTATTTAATTCCAATTCCAATGAGTAATTTTGAGAGTCTTGTAACCTCTTTGAACTTTCTGTTCAGTCTTGAGGTAATTTTCAGCTGAAAAATACAAGGATAGAAACGCAGAACCTCAGGCTTAACAGTAAAGGATATAAAAAGAATAGATAGGAATAGAGATATTTAGTGTTTCCAAAATGAGTATGTTGTAGCACACTTCATTTTACCAAATGTCAAGGAAATGTGAGTCTTGTCTAAAAGTAAAATTTCTAAGCTAAAGAGAAGTGGTTATCAATATAATTCTATAGGAACAAAAATAAGGGGACAGTTAACTCTACCTTGGAGACTAAGAGGAAATTAAAGAAAAGGTTCTTGAAGAATTGGTCAGAGTAATCACTCAAATATTTGCCTATCATGTCCACTTACCAATGTCGCTGCCTCAATCTTAGATATGTCTGTGGTTAGAAATGCACAAGTCCTTCAACTACAACATGACACTTTTCAACCATATTTCTGGCTGTACTACAAACATTGGCGTTTGTTCAAATTCTTCTAAAGGGAGCACAACTCTCCAAATGTGGTTCCACCAGTGTAAACTAAGTGAACTACTGATCCTCCTCTGTAGGAATAGCAAAGAAAATTTGCATTGTATTTTACAATTATACTAAGTTACCCTATTTTAAGCAGCAATTCTGCTATGGACTTGATATATTTCTAAGTGAATCTTATCACAGATAGTTTTTAAAGCAGCTTACAGTGATTTGAAAGCATATAGAAAATGTCCGTAAAAATAATGCATCTCCTTGGCTTAAAAAAGAAAATCACACATGAAATAGCACAAGTGAAAGAGAGAAAGAAAGAGACTTCTCATCCATGTGTTTTTCATGATGGAGATAATTGATTTTTTTATTGCTATTGTGGAGAGCACTGCTGACATTCACTGGCCTACTGAGTTCATCACAGCTGTGCTTATGCATCTCTCCCAAGCTCCGCTTTCCACTGAATTGGAAAAGATCTGAATTTTTGGTTGATAATCTGCCACACCCTTGCTTTGCCTCATCTTTCCAGTCACTCTCTTTGTTCAGGGAGAGTCACATTAATCAGTGCTTTGGCTGGTGCAGGTGTTTAGATATGTGTTAAAACTCTACACACAATTCAGAGAGCAAAACGAAATATCTATGTGAGCTGGTTAATATCAGTGAACTCAGGGATGTATAGAAAAAAATATGTGTCTAGATTACTACGAGGACACCAGCTCTTGGATTGCATAATAGGATTCATCAGTGTGTGGATTTCACCCAGTTGTGACACCAGCTCAGATCCACACCCATCGAGACACTGTATTAGAAAATACTGACATGAGGAGGAGAAAAGGATCTGAGACACAGAATGCAAAGGATCCTGGTTCAGGACCTCTAAATATGCTCAAGGTAGTGAAGAATCTAAATCAGAAAATCTGGGGCCGGCCCCGTGTCTTAGTGGTTGTGTGCGCGCGCTCCACAGCTGGCGGCCCCGGTTGGGATCCCGGGTGTGCACCGATGCACCGCTTCTCCAGCCATGCTGAGGCTGCGTCCCACATACAGCAACTGGAAGGATGTGCAGCTATGACATACAACTATCTACTGGGGCTTTGGGGGAAAAATAAATAAATAAAAATTATATAAAAAAAAAGAAAATCTGGAGTACGAGATTTCTTATCTCTAGATCTCTCATGGATATCTTAAAATACAACAATGCTTTTATGTACAAAATATCAGCTAACTTTTCTTAAATGAGTGCATCAATCATGAATTTTTCTCATAAGTGTAAAACTTTTATTTAACTAGCTAACTAAGATATTTAAAAATATCTTAAGAATTTTAGGACAAACCAAAAATACAATAGAAATTGTACATGTAATGCCTAAAATAAAGCACAGAAAGCATTATTTAAAAAATAATGTATCTAATTTTTCATACTGGGAAATAATTCTAATGAAGAAATTCAGTAAATTTCAACTTTCATTAACCATCTAAAACAATAAGATATAGAAATGTAAATTTTTTTTGCAAGTGTCAAAGACACCAGGAGAAAAACAAATCATGTTTCTGAATTGGTTTGAACACAAGGGTATTTTTTTAAAGTATAGGATGAAGATGATTAGAAGACAGAAAGATGTATGTAACAGTCTTTTTTCCCCATCTCCACTATGATCCAGTAGAAAAGCTACTTTTTTTTTCCTCAAGTAGTGACTCTCCACTCTAAAATCAAAAGATGCATAAGAGATTGGTCCAACTAGTTCTCTTTTCCTGTCATCAGATGATGTCATCTATATTGGGACATCTTTGTACTTTTTGTAACTGGACCTGTAGGGAGGCAAGTGAACCACTGTCCATGCTTACAGAATAGATGTACACCTGGGAATGTACACATTAACATGTGAATTGAGTAAAAATTGAGTAACATGAATAGAGAGAAAGAGAAAGATGAAAACAAGTTTAAAGAAGGAAAGTTTTGAGCTGGGTCTTAGAGAAATGACTTCCATGAATTGATATGAAGTGGGGAGAGTTTTACGTGCACATATATGCATAGAGATTGGTATGGTTAACGTGGAAAAAATAAAATAAATGCAAGTGAGCTTGATTAGAATTGAAGAGCGTGTGTAGAATATACAGTTGAATGAAGGAACTATGGATTGATGATTAGGGTGCAAAGAAATATCTTGATTACTAGAAATAACTTGATACTGTGGACAGCCATATTTTTCTTGCAAAGATTTTTCAAAGACCTATAAATAGTATTTGCCCCTTTTTCAAATATGACCCAGAAATTACTCCTTAGATCCAGAAATACATTGAAAAGCTATGTTAATGTGGCCTGGAAATTATACATGTGGAAGTCTAAATTTAGAAATATTTATCTAATATTTATACTAATCCAGATAAAATGACAGCTTCTTCTGGTACTTTTTTGATATTCCATGTGATAAGCTCTTTCTCTTCTTGTTTCTTACAAAGTCAAGACACGAAAAGACTAACTTTTTCTCTAGAAAAGTCCGTTTCACAAGCAGCATAAAAATTTGAAATCTCACATGAAATCACTCTTTGGCCGGCTAAGGATATTTGTGAGAAATAGAAACAGCTATAGATAAGTACCTAACCTTTAAGATGCCATCCAAACATAGCTCAGATACTTAATCTTTTGATATTTGCCTGAAATTGAACTTCCAGGACCCAGGGTGGGTGGACGAGTAGAAGGGACAAACAGAGGCTTTTCTCTCGGTTAATCTGTTACATTTCCTTCCTTAAATTGAGTTAGGGTGGATCCTGGCAAAATCCCAATATGAAAAACTTCTAGGAAGGTAAGGTTTGCAAATTAGCCCTGCCCAAGAAAAGGACATCAAGCAATTTCTCAAAATTACAGTTGTGAATGTTATAAGGGGAAATTAAAAAATGCATACATTTAATTCTTTTATTTAAACACTAGGCAGAGCATTTTGATATATATCCTTAAGCTATACGAACATATATATGACTAAACTATGTAACAAACTTATACATAAACAGATGCACACACTCTCCAGCTGTGTATTTTTCTTACTTTGTGGGTTGTGCCTTCTATAAGGGAAAAAGACATATTAATCATTTCTTTTACTGCTAAGGGGATGGGTGCTGCTCTCATGTTTCAGAAAGGGGCTGGAAAATGAGGGAAGCCAAACTTTTTCCTATTTAAGGCCAAAGCAAAGGAATCTCAGTGGCTGAGTTGTATGACGGGCCCGGTGCTGAAGGGCAGGGAACAACTGATGGTGCTACTTTGAACTGCTTTTCTTTTCTCCTTTTTGCACAAAGAGTCTCATGTCTGATATTTAGACATGATGAGCTTTGTGCAAAAGAGGACCTGGTTACTTCTTGCTCTGCTTCATCCCACTGTTATTTTGGCACAACAGGAAGGTGAGTAGGTACCGATTTCAAGACACTTTACCGGGTTTTTGTTTTTACTTCTTACAAATAGGTGTAAAAGGAAAATCAGTCTCCTAAAAGATACTTTCCTCTATACGCTCCCAATTGTGAAACATAGAACTTAACGTGATGGTGCCTGTTTACATTTGCTTAGAAAGAGTATTGTGATTTTTGTATGTAAAAGTTCTCTGGCTTAAGATAAGGATGTTCTCGTACTAACTTGTTTTCATGTTAATAGCACTGGAAACTTTTAAAATGGCTTTTAAAAGTTCCCCTCCAGGATTGTTAACATCTTGGAATGCTTCCCTTGCAGTCTGGAAGTTATTGGACTCTTGTAATAGTTTTATGTTCTCGTTTGTATGCTGGATTCTTTGTAAGGATAGAATATTGAGTATTGTTTTCCCAATAAGATAATGCATTTAAAAAAGATCATGCATGAAGAGTAGTCTAAAGAAAAATACTACACATTTTATTAGAGAATTGTTGAATGTATTTCTGTAAAATGGCAACAAGTTACTATCTTCAATATTCTTTAAAACAGATTCAAACTGCTAAAACTTTTTCATTGTTTCTGTCTGTGTTCTGTTTCAAGCACTTACATGGTTGATTAATACATATTTTCTAATTGCTTATTGCTAAGAGTCTAGTGTTTGCCACATGTTCTACATTCTAACTGCATTTGCATTAATGAAGAGAATATTTTTAAAAATGTTTTCAACAGGAATGTTTGACTTTTCTGCAAACAAGGTAAAGACACTACACTGTTTGACTTCAAAAAGTTGATTTGTTGTATTTTCTAGTAAGTGCAAACAATGGTTTTCACGTTCTAATTTCCCCCAAACCACATTTGTCTCATTATTTGATTATGTGAAAATATTTCTTTTAATACATGTGCTCATCTTAGTCGTGAAAATACTGGACAAATTGGAATACAAACTTTCATAGAAATGAGTATTTAAATGATAAATTTGAAGGTGCTAGAAGAAATCATTACACATCAATTTCTATTTGCAAAGAATCAAAAATGTTTATCTTTAAACCTACAGTTTTTGCAAACATGGTGTCTGAAAATAGTTTTTTGTTTTTAATCTCAAATATCTCTGATGTCCTCACAGGTCCTATATGTATTTGAGTGGGGGGGGAATACCCAGTGACATTTCTTCAGTTATATTCAGCCTGTGGCCACAAAAGAAAAGCAACACCCATATTCCTTGTTCCCTTGTTCTCTCCTCCCTTCCTTTCCCCTCCTTCTTGTCTCTCCACCCCTTTTGGCTCCGTGGGACCTCCTCCCCCTTTTGATTCCTTCACTCATCACCCCACCCCCTTCCTAGTCAAGCCCATCTCTCCTCATCTCCCCTCCTCCTTCTTCCCTTGCTCTGTCACCCCTCCCTCATCCCCATGAGTCCTCCCTATGCCTCCATCTCTTTTCTTTCTTCTCTCCTCTTGCCTCCTCCCCCTTTTCTTCCCTAGAACTCTCTATCCTCCTCTCTATTCCTCTCCCTTTTCCCTCCCCATTCTGTCTCTCCCAGAAGATGCTACAATTCCCAGTCCTTGGTTAGGATACCATGACTACTGCCATGCTCCCACCTCAATAAAGACTTTTATCCTTTTTAAAGCTCTTAAATTCTCCTGATTTCTGAAAAAAAAGAAATCACATAGTTCCCATTTATTGGAAAGACTACAAATCTTTGGTGTTTAGTTCAAAAGATTGACAAAACATTTGTAGGGGCCTGGTGGTTACAATCTTTTATATGCGCTATGGCTATTTTTCTTCTCAATCCAACTTTAGAGGGAAAAAAGTGTTTGATACCTACATTACCTTTACATCACATAAGTTCTTTTTATTTTCCCCTTCTCTTTAGCTGCAGAAAATAATAAATAGCTATGAATTTTGCTGATACGTTTGTAGCTTTTAAGCTCAAAAGAAGTTGAAAGGGATTCTGTTCAGCTTATTGTTTTTGTCACGAAAAATAAGTTTTTTAAGCATTTTAAGACAGTACATCTTATGTTCCCTATAGGTTTTATTAAAAAAAAAATCTGCCAGTGGATTAGATTAGGGAGGTTACAGGAGGGGGCTGAATGAACAGCACATTGAGGACACTCATATGCAGTTCTGGGGTGTACATGCCCTGGGAATCCCAGAGAGAAACAGCACAGTTCTGATGAACACTAACTTCTAGTTTACTCACATGAATTTTCTGGAGCATAAAACATGTCCTCACAAAGAATTTTGGTCTTTTGCAAATTTGTGAAAGTTATAATTCATATATTTTATTCCACCAATAAAGAAATGTGGTCTGTTTTGTATTTCCCGTAGTTTATAAACACGCCCAATTTTGAGCACAAAGACTCGCCACCTAGTGGCTGACAGTCAGAGTTACATCTACATAACCAAAGCCAACATAAACATTAGACAGCTGGAGTCCCTATGTTATAATGAGATTTAAAAACATTATGTGTGAATTTTAAATATTAAACACTACTTTCCTAAGAAAATAAGTATATTACTGATAAAATATTGCCAAACACACATACTCACACACAAACAAGCTCATTCAAATGAACTGGAATGTTATGGCCATTTTCAAAATTCCTGGTATAACATAATTATTTTTTTGAATATTTGACAAGTTTCTGATGTCGTCCTTATTTGACATAAGTATTTTAGCTACCACTTATTAGACAGATAGATAAATGGACAGAGAGATATTACTACGTAATATTGCTTCATTAGGGCAGGAGATAAACTTATTTTAATTAAAAGTGTTCTGATGTTTAAGATGATATTTTGCTCCCTTGATAATTCCACTGTGATGATGAACTGTGGGCCTTTAGTTTTAGAATTATGGAGCCATAAATGGACGCAGGATCACTTCCTTATTACAGGTTATAAGTCTATTTTTCATTATATTTAAAGAGAGAACTTGTAACTGATCAAGTAGCATTCAAGTTTTCTGCTTTGTGTTGTCCCTAAAATCAAACATACCAAACTAATGAAAAAAATATAGCATAAAATCACTAGAAATAATTGTGCTTTTAAGAGGAGAGACTGCGTGACTGCTCACAGATTTCTGTGTTGTTCACATAACATGGATTCAGAATTTTGGTTGTGATTACACAACCAGGAAGTGGCAAAGTTAAGACTAGAACCAAAATTCTGTGAAATCCAGGTAATTAGAGAACATAAAACATAACATTAAATCCAGAATTTTCTTATTTTTTTAACTGTTTGTCATTGAAAGGAAATACTAAATAATTATATATTTTCCTAGAAAATGTACGAGCTAATGCATTCATAAAGGTGAGAAAAGAGTAGATTTTTTTCTGTTTAACACTCAACTTTGAATTGGTAAATCTATTTTTTTAAATGATTTATGATTTAACCAGAAATTATCTTCAGTTCTGTAATATAAATTCTAAGTAAATAAAGTATTGATACAAAATTTTGTGTTTTTCATTCACGATACCTTGCATGTCTTTACCACTTCCAGAGTATTCAACATCAGATGATCTAAAGGTCTATAGGTAAATAGAAATTCTGATGAAATTCTCGCATCAAACATCTTAGTAGTCGAAAAGAGCAAAGCCACTGGAATAATTCTGGGAAAGAGGAAAGGCTGTGACTAGGTGCCTTTTTAACTAATTCGGATTCCTGGGTTGATGTCTTAGCTACAGACTTCTTTTAAAAAAATCAAGAATCATTGGCTGTGAGTTTTCCATCAGTAGAGTTGAGACTAAAAAATAGCTCCTCAGAAAAGCCCCTGTTCCACACCTACAGAGTTGCATGCCAGACCTTGAGCTGTCGCTGAGAGAGAAGAGTGCCATCTACTGAAACCCCATGGTTTCCATTGTGGATCGCTCTGGTGCAGAGTTCCAAAGATTATGTAGCCAGTTCTCTTATTTTGTAACATCAAATGATATCACTGCCTTGAAGTGATTAAAGTGGATTGCTTAAGAGTTGAAGTTTTAAAAATGAAAGATGTTATTGCCTTTGCTGGACATGGAGAACATTTGTCAAGTCTCCAGGTCTACAATAACTTTCTGGAAATGTCTCAGTGGACTGTTTCTTGTAAAACAGTTTTCCCTGGAAAAAACCTCAGTCTCACTGTTTTCCACGCTCAAAAAAAGGCGGAGGGCCGGTGGGGGGTGTCGCATGGTGTAAAAAAAATCCAGAGTTTTCAAAGGGGAAACTGCCTGTTTCATGTCAAGATGACAACGGAAAAAATGAGATAGCTCTCCTTACACAAATCATTTGTTAACTGCAGTTTGGGGAGTTACATTAACCACTAGAATTTCTGCCTGTGCCTAATGAAAACACAGCAGAAGTGGATTCCTTTCAGATTAACTAATAAACTCCCTGCATTTTCCATGACTGAGATCAAGCACTGCCATCTAAACCGTAATCTTAATGAACAAAATGAAAGGTTCAAAGAAGAGAACAAAAATGAAAAGTCCCAAAAGATGTACAAATCAAAGAGAAAGGATTCAGAAACCATTAAAAGTTAAATTTGCTTTGAAAACTCGCATTGAGAAATGACTGCTTCAGTAAAATGGCATTTGTTTTTCTGAAACTTTGTTTCCTATGTTATTTGGTGTGGAGGATGATAACAGGAACAGTGTTTCTCAAGTTAATTAAAACCAAAGAAACACTCTTTGGAGCTGGCTAGTATGTTCATTATGTCCAAATTCAGAAGAGAAGCTTCTAATGAAGTTACAAGTTCGTTATTATGAATCATTTAGTAACTGTATTTTCTGAAAATCAGTATCTTAGTGAGATGTCCTAAATATGTTTTTTCGCATTGCCTCCAGAAGCCTTATCTGTTTGTTGTTGCTGCTGCTGTGCTGTTTAAATCCTGCTTCTTTGTATAAAGTAAAATGTATGCTGAGTTTCCCAACCACGTTAATCCTGCTGGTGGTCTGGATGTCATTAGGGTGGCCTTACAGATAGAACTCTTTTTCAGAGGTTCAAGAGAAAATAAACAGCAGATTTC